TATTATTTCAGGTATTTTTTTCACTCTTGTTTATTTATTTGGAACTCATTTCACTTCCTATTTTATAAGTTTGCCACAACCTGCTCTGAAATAACTTGAGTCGATTCAATTACACATAAAAATATGGAGGGAAAAAGCAAGAAAAACAAAGAAAATATGTATAACAAGAAAAACTATAACATAAAAAAGAAACATACGTTCACACTTGTGGCGGCAGATGAATATAACATTGTAGGATGTTTCCCGGAATTAATATCTCTCATTCAAAGAAGTTATTCAAAGCAATGAATTCAGAACCAAAATTAAAGCGCACCAATGCATCTCTACCAATACTCTGGTAATAGTTGAGCACGCCATACTAGGACAACGAAGGAATACTGCATCATGCACTTGGTCATCTTCCCGAGGCAAGTGAGTTAACTGACTATAAAAGTCCAGTTTCAACCCTTGTCGAACTAGGCTGGTATTATGGAGTTACATTTTGGCTGGACTAACGAGTCTATCCATAGTCCAATCAAAATCGCGCACTGAAATCGAAGTCCAGTTCGTAAACTGTCATGTGCACCACCAACCTCGTTGTCAGCAGATATTTTCCAAATCTTTTCATGTTTTTAATCAAGGTGCTCACGTGATTTGATGCATTTCGCGATGTAAGACCCGTTTTATCACAATATAGATCTTGATTATTGATCAGATCGTCCTGACTGGGCACCACCATTTTGTGTGAAGCAAACGCAAGTGATACGAGTGGTGGAATCTGATTGGTCCATAGGAGAGGCTTAGAAGGGACATAGCTGGTAATATCCACTGGTGGCGCTACGATCGAGCCCAGTAATCCCAGCCTTGTTCGGCAAGGGTGGAAACTGGACTTGTAAAGTCAGTTAACTCTCTTGCCTCGGGAAGATGGCACTTGGTAGATGGATAGCGATACAAAACTTAGGCACAAAAATAGTAATTGCCAAATGTGTAATATGCTGAACAAGGCATACTATGAACTGCCATTGACTATACCACAAGAACATATATACCATATGGGCATCTGTACAAGTTGGGGCAGGGAAAACGAAAATATGTTGACACAGATACATCTGACAGCTACTGTTGAAATCAGTGTTTATTTTTTATCTTTGTCACTTCAGTCACCTATTGTTCATACCAAGGTGTCGGGTCTTCAACTTGACGACTTTAATAGAAAAATACAAAAATAACAAATAAAAAGCCTCTCTCCTCACTTTTTAAAAAAAAAGTGGATAATAACGTAGCAATTAATTTATTATGAGCTTATTCACTTATTTCGTGACATTCAACAGAAAAAGAGATTCAACACAATTTAATCAATATGTTGAATTCAGGTGAAAGTATGATACCGGTACCATCTTTAACATAATTAATATGCCAGTGTTTCCAATATTCCCCATCAGAAGTGATCATGATGATGACCACTCAAAGTGCAGCTTTTTCTCAATTAATTTCATTATTTGAAAAGATTAATTATACTGAATTATTGTCATTTATATTGAAACTTACTCCATCACTCCTACTGTCCTAATCTAATGATTCACCCCCAAATAGATGTCGTAGGGTCCTGTCCTCAAGTGGCCGCAGTGATAGGATTGCCACTAGTCTGTTAGTTATGGGAGTTATGATCATCTTAGTGCTAAGATCGTTTTCTGAACAGTGCTCAGGGAATTATAGCCAAACCACAGACTTGCAAACAGCAATCTGAGGTGTATCCAACACGTACCGTATTCGATGTAATAAGCGCCCCGCTCTAATAAGCGCCCACGGCGATATTTGCTAATATATTTGCTAGTGAACAATCCAAATTAGCACCCCTTCCGATTGATCAATGTACACAAGACTTATTTATTCGTGTATAATATGCACTTGTGCGTTATATGCGTGGTGGGTGAGTTCGGTTTTACGCCGCTTTTAGCAATATTCCAGCAATATCACGGCTGGGGACACCAGAAATGGGCTTCACACATTGTACCCATGTCGGGAATCGAACCCGGGTCTTCGGCATGACGAGCTAACGCTTTAACCACTAAGCTACCCGACCGCCCCGTGATATATGCACCCTTAATTATGGGCAATTAAATTCTGGAAAATATATCTGTCATGTATAATACGCACACACTTTTCTTTTGCATCATTTCGGGCTGTCAGCATAAACCACGAAATTTACGATCTTTTGATTCTGTTTTTTTCTCACTAAAATTATATTCTAATAAGAGCCCCCTATTTCTAATTTGGAGAGCGCCCTTGGCGTTTATTACGTCGAATGCGGTATGTCTATAAGTTTCAGCTACAACCTATGTAGGCTGACCTCTAATGGTCAAAATAATGTCTGGCTTCTATATTTTCAAATAATGCCAAAGCTACAGTGACGATAATTTGTGTGCATGAACAAAAGATATTAAAGAATACGTATTCTTATCTGACAATCAACATGTAAATATGGATGAAATATGCTTGCTTTAGGTGATAAAGCTAAATATATATATGCCACACAGAGTAAACAGAACTTGATTAAGAAACCCTGAATCCTAAGCCAGACTATGCCAAGCTATGAATATGCAATGATAATTTTCACAAAAACTGTTCATTATTCATAATCAGTGTTATCATGATCAACATGATATAAATTTTCTTCATCATACATCTGAATGAATTTAAGTTCATTTGTAAATATCACTGACAATGAAAAAAAGCACAACATTTTAAAAAACATTCATTTCCATAGCCATTATAAAATCAGGCCAAAGTTTATCGAAGATTTCTTGACATGAGAAAAGTTTCTTGCTAACATATGATTTTTATTACCACGTAATTGTAGTATCATCTAAGTGTTATTGATGGATTCAATGTTGAACAAATACTCCATGCACACAGAGCTTGCCTCTTGGCTTAAAAAAACAAACATTGAAGATTCGGGATATGAAACGGAAACCTCCAACCATGAATCCTTGTTTCCGCACTATTCCAGCTCCATGACACCCATCTGTAAACGATCGAGTCTGGACCAGACAATCCAGTGATTGATATAGCAGTTTCGGGGTACGATGTCACACAATCAACCAAGTCACTGAGTATGATCACCCAATCCATGTTGTCGCCTCTTACGACAAGTAAAGGCTGCTGGGGATCTATTCTACCCCTGGGGGGGGGGGGGGGGGGGGGGGGCAAACCACAAAAGTACATGATAGACCCAACCTCTGCCATTCTCAGACTTCACTTCAATCTGTAACAGACCGCCTCTGTGGTCTAATGGTAGAACGTCTGCCCGGAGAGCGGAAGGTCCGGGGTTCGATCCCTGGCCACGTTATACCAAAAGATATGTTAAAAGATGGTACTTGTTGTTACCCTGTCTGGCGCTCAGCATTAAGGGGCTAAAACAAGGACTGGTCGGCTCGGGGTCAGTATACTGTGTCTGAGTGGGGTATTCCTGTTAAACTGCGGCATGGTATCTCAGTGGGCTAGCACTATAAATCGGCATCAGTCCGGACTAGTTCAAGCAGCCACACACACACACGTGCATGCACGTCGCTATATAAGTGCAATAATCTTGGACGTGACGTTAAACCGCATTTTACCTCACCTCAACCTGTAACATGAAACATGCTGATAAATGTATGCACTTCGATCGAATTTGTCATCTGTGTTTAGCAAGCAGAAATGTTGAACTGAAACCTTCAAACTTGTTGGAAATTAGTACACAATTCAGGGTTTGACAAAGCAAGACTTCCTATTGCACAAAACTATATATTTTGTTGAAACAAAAAGAATAAACTCCAATCTGCGAAAGATTATGACATTATTTTGACTTCCTTTAGAATGGTTAGAATATGAAACATTAACATGACAATATTTAGACTTCAAGTTCTGCATCGAGACATTTATATATGCCAAAGTAACCATCACATAGCCATCTTTTGATCTTACTGGTTTACAGATTGACCAACTGGAGCTAGCAGCCTGATCCCACAGAACATTTGTACCTGCCATAAGTCTTGAGTGGAATAGAAAGATATATATATCACTTGAAAGTCCAAACATTGCTTCATGCATGGTTTGTATCCTGCTAATACGACCCCCTGGTCGAGTGGATAGAGTGTAAACCTGGGACGAGTCCAAATTTACTACCCGGGTACTCGACACACTGTTACCCGGCCCTACCCGGATACCCGCTATAGGTCTCAAGAGTTGGGTACAAAATGTCCGAAGAGGAATTGTTTTACTGCAGCCCTGGCAAAAACTATTTAGATACACGTAATACACTGCAGTTGATAGACGCTTTATCCTTACTCAAACATATAAAAGTCAGTACAAATGCTTGCATAGTGAGAAAGAAATGTGAACATTAGCTATACTTGTAGTGTAACATTGAGTTTTATTGTTAATGTCATTAAACAGTATATCACGTGACTAACCACGGGTCCGGGTAGTCATGTGGGTACCCGGGTCCTACTCAGGACCCACCCGACCCCCGAGTTCCCGAATTACCTGTCCCAGGCCTAAAAGAGGGTTGGCCTGGAAGGTTGGTGGTTCGATCTCTTGGCCATGATACTTTTTGTTACTCCTCTAAGCACTCGGCATTAAGAGGACAAAACAAGGACTAGTTGGCATTGGGAACCTATAATGACCCGAAAGTCTCCCACAGTTTACCCTAAGCTTGTAGGACCTATTCCAGCCTACATTCCTACGGTGTGTGGGGCACTGGCGATCCGGACTAGTACATGCTGACAGACAGACAGTGAGTGAGTGAGTTGGGTTTAACGCTGCTTTTAACAGTATTCCAGTTATATCACGGCGTGTCAGCTTAATGTGGGAGGAAAGCCCGAAGTGATGCAGGTCTCAGACGTTTACCACTTCGGTGAAACCCACGAGCACGGGTATGGTGCTAACAAACCTAGAAACATAATCAGGGCGAACCCGGGATTCAAACCCACAATCATAGGTTTCTGGCGTGCCCAAGGGACGCAACTCTGCACAGCGAATCACGGCGCCTCAGACGACTGGGCCACCTGTGCCCCCGAGAGACAGACAGACTATATACATGATATAAATGCAATAATCTTGAACACCACATTAAAACCCATTTCATCTCACCTCGGTCTACTCTTCATCAATGGAGGTGAATACTGGTTTTAACATGAAGCTTGGCTGAACTACACCATACCACCTCACCAAAAATAATACAAATCATTTTAATTTGTCAGAAGAAGTCTGTAAACAATAAGATAAAAAAGTATGGCCTAAGTATAATTTTATGATAAACAATTAACAGACCCTGTAAAGTATTACGCCAATAAACATTAATACTGTAATCAGATCTATAAAACAAAGCACCTTAGAATGATCACCAATGATTAGCATAATAAAAAATATAATAATACAAAATTAATTAATAACTGAGGACGTTGTGGCAATGGAATGACTAATGTTTGATAAATCAATATACATTACACAATATTTCTCGTATCATCAATACTTGTCAGCAAAATATATTCAGATCGAATTAATATAAATTAATATAAACTGTGAACATGAAATCAAAACCTTGATCCATTTTTTATACTTCTTGTTTGTTCTAAATGAACAAAGTGTAAATGAGAAATATGTTTTTTACATGTTTCCCTCAGAATAATATATGATGTATAATACAATATAACCTTCTTATATTTGCTCGTGATAAATTATCTAATATAAGCTTATGTCTTGCAGGATATGTTGTTTTCTTATTTCAAATTCAGTTTCCATCTTGAAATCATACAAACAGTGTATTGAGCATAGAATATGTATTATGACACTTCTATATGATTTCATGACAATTATTATCGTATGCACTATCACTGCCTCAAAATATTACACAACAGCAAGGTAAAACGTTCCATTGCTATATCACCATTTAAGAACACTGAACAAAGTTTTAAACATTCAACTGTACAATCCTCTTTTGCAGTTATTCAACAAGATCAAAATGGCAAAATATCTTACTAATGTCACCAAGACATTAGAACTACAAACCTGTACAAACATCCACATGTCCCGTCAAACATTTAAGCCAATTACATCTCAAAATACTTTCTTACTTTCTTATTTCAAATATCCTAACACCAACCAATAATTAATTCTTGAATGTTATTTTGGAAATACAACTACATTCTATGTGAGAGTTAACTCCCTTATTCTATATTTCCAGGACATAAAATGAGAGTTGTCTCCCCATTCGTTTTCCTCTGGTCGTACGGGAGTGACCTCCCTTACTGCTGACCAAACACTTCCCTTTTTGCCTTAAACGCTTGTCTTCTTTCTTTAGCTTCCTCAGCTTCACGTTTCTTATCCTCCTGCTCTTGACGAATCTCATCCTCAAATTTGCTCTGAATAGTTTGTGTCTTGATCTGGAAGGGAAACATGGGGATTTTTGTTGATACAGTGAGTGAGAGAGTGAGCATGGTTTTATGCCGCTTTTAGCAATATGCCAGCAATATCACGGCAGGGGACACCAGAAATGGGCTTCACACGTTGTACCCTTGTGGGAATCGAACCCGGATCTTAGGCGTGATGAGCGAACGCTTTAACCACTAGGCTACCCCACTGCCCCTATTTGATACAGCTTGTCAACAGGAATAGTGCAATATTTTGTCATATATACTACATCCATCATGTACTACACACTCTACAGAACATGAAATATTTCACTCAGATCATTCCTTTTCAGTATCTAGTAATAACAAAATTATAACTGAGTGAGCATGGTTTTATGCCGCTTTTAGCAATATTCCAGCAAAATCACGGCAGGGGACACCAGAAATGGGCAACACACATTGTCCCCATGTGAGGATCTGAGACGGGTCTTCGGCATGACGAGCGAACGCTTTACCACTTAGACCAAACTGCCCTACAAAATTATAAGGCAGCAAGTATTATTTTACTTCACAAGCTTATCGCTGTGCAGAGTTGCGTCCCTTAGGCACGCCAGAAACCTATTATTGTGGGTTCGAATCCCGGGTTCGCCCTAATAATGTTTCAAGGTTTGTCAGCACCATACCCGTGCTTGTGGGTTTCACAAAAGTGGTAAACGTCTGAGACCTGCATCACTTCGGGCTTTCCTCCCACATTAAGCTGACATGCCTTGATATAACTGGAATACTGTTAAAAGTGGCGTTAATTCCAACTCACTCACAAGCCTATCTTCCATTTATCTAGTTGGGGCTACTACTGCAACAGGCCTTCATATTGTCTGTTATTAGACCTTGGGTGCTTCATACATATTACACCCTGTATATTTCCCCCGAAATGAATTGAAATGAACTAATACAACAGTTAAACAATTCCACATATTTCATGACTGATTCAATGCAATCAACTATATAGAACATGCTGTGCCACCGATCGAAATGCAGGTCATACGCCTGATCAGAGCAAATTCTGATTAACTAAAAGTTGTAGTTGTATGATAATCAGTACTGCTGACTTAAAAGAGAAATATTCTGCTGACTGAGAAAGGCCATCAGAAGGGCTGGCTTGGCAAGAATACCAAAACTGCTGACGTAGCTAGAATATCAAAACTGCTGACTTAGCAAGAATATCAAAACTGCTGACAGCAGGAATATCAAAACTGCTGACTTTGCAAGAAATTGAAGAATATCAAAACTGCTGACAGAAAGAATATCAAAGCTGATGACTAAGCAAGAATATCAAAACTGCTGACAGCAAGAATATCAAAACTGCTGACTTTGCAAGAATATCAAAGCTACTGATAAAACTACCTTTGCTTCGAAGAAGTCCTTGGCCCCTCTGACTCCTGTCTCGTCAACGTCAATCTCGGATATGTTGGCATACAGCTCGTACAGACCGCTGTCCTCAGCAAGCTCCCCAGCAGCAGCTTTGCGGAATATCAGCAGGAACTGGAGGGATGATGGAAATGTGAATAGTGAGGTCATGTTTGAAAGAAGCAAGTACAGGTGTAACCCAAATAACACTACTACTACATTGATAGTAACGACATAATCATGATAATTGGAACTGTTTTCTGTCCATTATTTTATACCAGTAAGGTGAAAACAGACAAGCAGATTTTTACCGAGTAAGTTGTCTCAGGTTTTAATACCCTTGTTCTTACACAGTGGCACAGACATGTGATGATGATAAAAGCTTCATAAATCTCTAACAATTGCCTTGGGCAACAAATAATCATGCCTTGTCAACATCTTTCAAAGAAGTTATAAAACATCAAAATGAACATTCAGGTGAGGTGAGGTGAAATGGGATTTAACGTCGCATCCAAGATTATTGCACTTATATAGCGACGTGCATGTACGTGTGTGTGTGTGTGTTTGTGTGGCTGCTTGTACTAGTCCGGACTGATGCCGATTTATAGTGCTAGCTCACTGAGATAACATGCCGCAGTTTAACATGAATACCCCACTCAGACACAGTATACTGACTCCGAGCCGACCAGTCCTTGTTTTGCACCTAAATGCCGAGCGCCAGACAGGGTAACAACAAGTACCATCTTTTAACGTCTTTTGGTATGACGCGGCCGGGGATCGAACCCCGGACCTTCCGCTCTCCGGGCGGACGCTCTACCACTAGACCACGGAGGCGGTGAACATTCAGGAAATGGAAAGCAAACTTTACCCAAGTTTAAATAATTTCCCTTCCATTATATTTTTTAATTTAACATTTGGAGTTCAAATATTGTAAAACTGCTGTCAAATTGGTCATGATAACATGAATGATAACTAAAACACTGAGAAATAAACTGTTATGTCAACACATGGTGAAGTGAATGAATAATGCAGCAGTCAGCAATATTCCAATTACATACAGGTATTGTATTCAGTCCTTCAGGCCATATGGTTCACAGTTCAGTTTGTCTTACATATAGTCACGGACCGACCATCTGATATTCTGGGAGGGGCCTGGGATTCGGTGTAGAGACTGGATATGGTTTCGGCTTTAGATACAAAACCAGACATATCTTTATTTCTCACTATGTGTCTAAATATCTATTTGGAAAAAACATCTTGTAATTTTTATTTTTTTTAAAAGTCAAAAGGATAAATATTTTTTCAAATTTCTACAACAATATATTTTGGTGGATAAAATCTCAGCTCATTCTATTATTTTTACTGAAAACAGTAACCTCCCTGATGGTAATATGTTTACTCCTGTCACACTGTCCAAAAGTGCTAACATCTCTCTACACGGAAACTCAGTCAACGTTTCCCACATTACGATAGGCTATTGACCTGTCTCCATCCCTCTTGACAGACAGACAGACCGTTTCACGGCAATGGGTCAATGTTTCAATACAGCAAAATGCTGATGGTGAAATATGTCAGATTGAGCTAGACATGTACCCTGCCTTCCTTCTCCATGTAGCTACAGATGAGGCATGCAAGCCCTCTAGGGCAGGTTGGTTGGTTTGTTGTTTTACACCGCACTCAGCAATATTCCAGCTTTATGACGGCGTTATGTAAATAAACGAGTTTGGACCAGACAATCCAGTGATTAATATCATGAGCATCGATCCACGCAATTGGGATCAATGACATGCATCAACCAAGTCAGCGAGCCTGACCACCCGATCCCGTTAGTCGCCTTTTACGGCAAGCAGGGGTTGCTGAAGACCTATTCTACCCTGGAATCTTCACGGGTCTCTAGGGCAGGTAAACCAGCTAAGGACAGGACATTGCTCACTGTTTTGATTGTTGACGAATAACATAAGCATGTTAAGTGTAATAATCTACAGTTAGGAATGTTTAAAAAAATATTTTCATTCAGTAAGCTACGGTTATAACAAACTCAAAGGGACTACTTGTTCTTTTAACATGTTAAACCGTAATTCGTTATGAGCATGCATACAGCATGTATACAGTAAATGGCCAGGAATAAAAAACACAGTTCGTTACATCCGTCAGTTTATCATTAGCTTATTCGTTATTAACATAGTTTACTGTAATTATTTACGTATTTCGTACGTATGCACATCATTATACACGTGCGAGACAAAGATAAAGTTTCTTTTAAAAGTTTGGTCACATCTTCCCGACAGTTACTCATCCCCATGGCCCAAGCTCCAATGTAATTTTTCAAACCCCTAAAAAATAAGGCATGGCTCCTGGTGCTGTGCAACAAGGAAGTAAGTAATCTGAACAGTATTTAGTTATGTCACAACATGTCAGATCGTGGGAGGGAAGCTGAAGGAGAAGGTCTTTGGTGAGACTGACAGGCAGTGACCTGTAAATAATCATGTTTAGGTCACACAAACACGGTACAGTATTATACGTAATAAGCGCCCACGGCAATATTTGTCAATATATTGGCTATTGAACTATCCCAATTAGCACCCCTTCCGATTGATCAATGTACACAAGACTTATTTATTCTCATATAATATGCAGGGGCACAGGTGGCCCAGTCGTCTGAGGCGCCGTGATTCGCTGTGCAGAGTTGCGTCCCTTGGGCACGCCAGAAACCTATGATTGTGGGTTCGAATCCCGGTTCGCCCTGATTATGTTTCTAGGTTTGTCAGCACTATACCCGTGCTCGTGGGTTTTACCGAAGTGGTAAACGTCAGAGACCTGCATCACTTCGGGCTTTCCTCCCACGTTAAGCAGTGTTATATCAAACTCACTCACACTCGCTCATATAATATGCGCTCGTGTCTTATATGCATCCTTAATTATGGGCAATTATATTCTGGAAAAATATATCTGTCGTATATAAACATTTCAGGCTGTCAGCATAAACCACAAAATTTACAATCTTTCAACTCTTGTTTTTTCCCACCAAAATAATATTCTAAGAGCCCCCTATTTCTAATATTGAGAGTGCCCTGGGTGCTTATTACGTCGAATACGGTAAATTAAAATATTTATCGGACATTAAATTATGAAATTCTCCCCGAGTTCTATGGTGGCAAGACCAAAAAGAAATGTTGGATGAACAAAGTGAGGTTGGTGAAACGGGATTTATTGTTGTGTTCAAGATCCTTTCACTTGTATAGCAATGTGTATGCATGTGTGTGCGAGTATGTTTGCTCAAGTCCACTGTCTGCAGTTCATTGCTGGATATCCTACTTAGTGACACGAGACTGACTCCCGACCCGGTGAGTCCTAGTTTTACCCCCATTATGCCGAGGGCCAGGCAAGGTAACAGCAAGTTCCATCTTTTAATGTCCCCCACCCCATTGAGAAGGATGAACAAAATGGAGAAATGTTTAAGATGATGTAGGTACTTCTCTGAAGCTGATCTTGGAGTCGTTGTCCTCATCCACCTCGTTTATCATGTTCTTCAGGGAGACGTGGGTCTGGGGTGCACCCAGCTTCTCCATCATCCGCTTCAACTCCATCAAATCGATAAACTTGTCCTCGTTCACATCGTACCTGCAAAAGAAGTTGCTGATGAATGTCTCTGCCTTGCTACATTCCCTCCTGAAGGCAGCCTGGGCAGAGGATTTGGTTGGTCGGTTGGTTTGTTGTTTAACGCCCCACTCAGCAATATTCCAGCTATATGACGCCGGTTAGTAAATAATCGAGTCAGGACCAGACAATCCAGTGATTGACATCATCAGCATCAATCCAATTGGGATACGATGACATGCATCAACCAAGTCAGCGAGCCTGACCACCCGATCCCGTTAGTCGCCTCTTGCGACAAACATAGTCGCCTTTTACGGCAAGTATGGGTTGCTGAAGACGTACTCTCCCCCCGGAATCTTCACGGGTCCAAACACTGTTGTATCAAAGTTGAATGGACCTACATAAATACTTTGAGTTATTTGAGATTCAATATAATCCAAAGCATAACGTTGACACATCTGATTTTTTTTTGATAACGGAGTTAGAATCTACACCGAAACGTCGCCCAATTGTAATAAAGAAGTTGCTCATCCATAACAATTTTGTCTTAGTCAATACAGACTTGTTGATTCATTTCAACGACCAAGTTAATACCTCGGCTTATGTATGAGATCGGCTTATCTCCAGTCATATCCGGTATTGAATGTATACATTGATTTATTTTTTTACTGTGGTAAATAGGAATTACGAATTATGATTTACATATCCCTTGTGAATTTATCCTGTAAATATGTAATTCACCATGTTCACTGGGAAAGATTATATTTATTTATTTATATATTTATTAGCTCATATCAACTGTCAACAACATGAAATGACTACAAAATAACTGAGGAAGATAAAATGTCTGCAACTTGACACGCTGAAGTATGCACAGGGTCATGTATCCCTTTGGGAGACAAGCATCAACGTGTTTCAAACAATGACAGTTTGCATCCTGCTTCCTTTATTCCAGCTGATATTGATATCATATATCATCAACAGGGGAATGTACTTGACCCTGTTTATGCGTCATGTCTCTTGCTGTGACACAGAATGTCACAGAATATCAGTTGTAACAAGAAAATACATGTAGTAATTAAATTTTACATGGGCTTATTACCTATGCTTTGTTTGCTAATGCTAATAACAGTCAATTAATTTTGCAGCAACAAAATTTGATTTAAGTACCATCAAAATGTAAAATGTTTTGTTTATTTGTTGTTTAACATGTTTAAAGCTGCACTCAGCAACAATCAAGCAATATGACGGCAATGTTGATAAATGTTATGTTTTCAGATTTGGTGGTGTTAACGGGTATTTTATGCCTGAAATTTTAACATTTGAATTAAGTTGAAAAGAATGAAATAAAAAGCATAAGTTTAAATTTTATATCATTTACTAAACATGTGAAATGTGCTTTTAATGCATTGTTTAAAAATACTCAAAGGAAACATGAAATGGCAATAGCAAAATGTTGATGCAGACTTTCCTGGAATGTTTGACTTGGCATGCTTTGTGTGTTTATTCTAAGCGTGTGGTTGAATAAATTTTACTTGGGAGTTTAAATCTACAAAACAATGCCATGTTAACTTTAAGAATACTTTCCACTGATACCCAGTTTGCATGACGTGTCTTGTCACTGTCTTTTTAGATTCAGAAGTAAATGCACATATTTGCACAACATTTGTTTTATCCGTCAGGGATTTTGCACGAAACAAACTGAAATAGGGCATTTTCATGATTTTATCACCTTTTAGAGGACATTCTTCTATATCATTACCAAATTTGAAATAAATCTATCAGACTTTTTGGAAGACAATCAGTCAAAGTCCGAGTTTGTGATCTTCAGTCCATATTAACACAATAAACAGATCACTGTTTAGTTCGTTTTTCAATGCAGTCTGAGTGTCCGTTTGATTTTAATAGACAACACCGATTGAACTATCAATGAGTATGAAATAAACATGATATAAACCGCGCAGCTTTCAAAACACATACTGTATTGCTTGCCACGCCCCCTGTCAAGTTGAAAACATGTGCTTGTCAAGATTGGATTGTTCGTTTCGTATGTAGGTCAGCAAGTCGGATCTCTATGCTTTCTGCTACAGTGATGTGCATTGTCTACGACATATCTGCGTCTATATGAGATGGGTTTATCAAACCAAATTGTGACTGGTAGAAGGTGACACGAAAATGACAATGAGTCCGGAAAAAAAACTTACTTTTTAAATGTCGCTTCGAAATCTTTGATTTGCTTCCGAGAGAACTCTTTAAACTCGGTGTACGGATTAAAGACACGTGCCGAGGGCAATGACCCTTCTTCTATTCCATCATTGATATTGTTTCTTCTCATCAGTTTCTGGGCAAGCTCGTCTGTTTCGGACATTTTTTTACTTAGTGATCGGGGATATATCGCCACGGGCCTTGACACACGGAGGTACTTGAATGGCTTCCGTTCTGCTTGGGGATTTCCTCGTCACGTGATACCAAATAATGACGTAGCATGCGAAAGGTCGGAGGTCAAAATGGTGTTTTCCTAATACGGAAATAGCGTGCTGAAGAAGTGTTTCGTGTGGAAACAAACTGTGTGTTTTTTTCATGATTGTGCTGAAAGTTTGTCTTTACAAATTCCAGTTCAAAAAGTAATTTATGATATTTCGCATTTATTTAATTATGCCTAAAAGTATGGGCGGCCATTCGGTCAAAAAATACAAAGTTGAAAAATAGGACAAAAGTACGCAATTAAGGTCAAATATTACGAATAAAGAACTAAATGTTTCTACTAAAGGTCAAAATACAATATTCATACTCAAATGTTACGAAAAGACGTCATAAGAAAAGAAAGAACAACGTGTACGAAAGAACGTTTTCAGTAAAGAACGTCAGTGAGCACGAAAGGACATTTTCAATAAAGAACGCCAGTGAGCACGAAAGGAAATTGACAATAAAGAACGTCAGTGAGCACGAAAGGATGTTGACAATAAAGAACGCCAGATGGCGTTGCAATTTGTAAAACATTCCGAGTTTGAACGAGTTGAGTAATATTTGACCTTAATTGCGTATTTTTGTCCTTTTTTTAAACTTTGTATTTTTGACCGAATGGCCGCCCATACTTTTCGTAACATTTGACTATTAATATTGTATTTTGACTTTCAGTAGTAACATTTAGTTCTTTATTCGTAATATTTGACCTTAATTGCGTACTTTTGTCCTTTTTTTCAACTTTGTATTTTTTGACCGAATGGCCGCCCATAAAAAGGTTTTATCTCGTTTTAAACGACGTAAATTACAAGACTATTTAAATGTTTGAACGATAACTTGCTAACTCGTTTGGAACACGTGCGTCCTCTCTCTCATTTAAACAACCTGCTATCTCGTTAAAGTGACGTACCACATCATTTAAACGAATAATTTCATCCAAGTGATCGTCGCATCAAATACGTTCTAATTACTTTTATTACCGTATTTCCTCTATTGGACGCCAGGACTTCTATTTATTTCGGACAAGCCTTTGACCCGGCGTCAATTAGAGGCCCGGCTTCTATTAATACCCCTATTTCAGTATGACCACGAGTGTCCCGAATCGTCACGAAATGGAAATATTTTGTGTTCGTAGATATCCATAGATATAGGTCCCAAAAAGGGATCATTAATTGTATCAATTGATCGACCCGGCGTCTATTAGAGGCCCGGCTTCTATATTTTGCACTGAATAATTGACCCGGCTTCTATAAGAGACAGGCGTCTATTAGAGGCCCGGCGCCTAATAGAGGAAATACGGTAACTCACCTGACTCCAAAATATAACTGTGTGCTACTTCTATTTTAATAACGTTTTTTTAATTAACAAAGAGGACCATTGAAGCCATAGAACCTAAACTTATACCCCGTTCACATGCACCTCTGTACATATGTGTGCATATTTGCATCCGTGTGTAGAAATACATACGTGAGTGTACTTGTCACGTGAACGCGTTTACTCATGTGTGTATATTTACACCAGGAGCAAATTTGCATCATATCTGGAGCAGGTGCAAATGTAAGTGTAAATTTGCACTGTGTGTATATGTTGCAATTTGAACATTCATGCCAACGTCAGAGGACGATCGAATTAATATACCCACGGCCAAAAGAAACGTGAACCATAGAAACATATATAGAGAGGTACATGCGAATTATCCTGTTTTCTTTATTTAAAGCAGTAATTGTTGATTGTTAAGCAAGTTTATCTCTGCAGCCGTTGTAATATGCAGATACCAGCCGATTCGTCTCGCATCAAAACACGGGCTGTGTACTCGGGGGCAGATGACCACGGAGTACGCTGATCACTGTGTCGGATTAACGAGACTGATTAATGAGTGATTTCGGTATTTTGTTGCAAGTTAGGTGTGTCGGAGTCGGAGTGCGAGATTGTCGGATTAACGGGACTAAATAGCACTGATTTAATCGGTTCCCATCATTAGTGTCGGATAAAGCCGATTGTCGGATTAACGAGTGTCGGATTAACGAGACTTGACTGTATGTACGTTAAGAAGAGATGTTTCTTTTGTGTACCAATTAATGACAAAACTAACAATCCATCAAATGTAACCACAAAGTGTCTTTATTTTTATCACGATATGCTTGCAGGTGTTTCCAAGCTTTACACGCTAATCCTGCACGAGACAAATGGTGCATCGCGAGTCATGGATCTATGACGTCACTTGTGATGCGTTGATGAGCGTCGGTTCACACAGCATACCAGTATGATCGTTTGTGCAACTTAAAGCCCCATTCACATGGACAAAATTTACTCATGTAAGCAAATTTACTCACGGAGTATATTTACTCATGTAAGCAAAAGTATATTTACATTGCGTTCGCATGAAGTTTATGCAAGGCAGAAGTAAACATCATTAATACATAAATTGTGTACTTTTATCACTTGAGGCCATGTCGCTGTCGAAGATAGTCAACCAGAGGCGAAAGAGAGACTTTCCATACTTTTTTTAGTATGGGATTAGTCTTAGAATTATGCCAGGAAAGAGAACTGTGGAAGAGAGAACGTTCTCAACACTGGTGAAACGATCATTTTATGATAAACTGTGGATCGATAACTTTCGCATGACACGCGAAACATTTTATGAACATGTTATGTTCTTTGCAAGGAACTACAGCCGTATTTTCCTGATTATCAGTATCTTGGATTTAATATGCTTACGTAAGCAAATAGAAAATCTGTTCTCATGACCAGAAATACTCCAGGAGCATTTATACTTATGAGTAAATATACTTTTACTAGACCTCATCAGGTGTAGCAAATATACTTTTACTCATGTCTCTTTACTCCTGGAGTATATTTACTCACGTAAGCAAATGCGTTCACATGCCACCATAAGTAAATTTACTTATGTAAGTATATATACTCACGTAAGTAAAAGTGTCCATGTGAATGGGGCTTAGGATAATATCTCTTGAATATGAGTAATTCTTCATACATTAACCAACATGTCTCGTCCTCGCGTTTCTCTTGTCGGTGAGTATATATCTGTTGAGTATATATCTGAACTATCTATTAGCCATTCCAGAATGTTCTTTAATTTGTTCAGGTTTCAAATTTTAAATCGAGAATTTGTCAAAATATGTTTCGAAGCGTAGTCGCCAATTTGAAATTAGTGCCGTAAAGCACGAGAAATCTGTCTTCTGATTGGTCATTCCATTGGTCGGTCAAAGTTCGCGCAAGGTCGGTCTGACGTGACTCGTACTGGGATGTCCTCAGATCTTTGTTTAGCTGTAGCGAGAACTAAGAACTGGTTTTAATGAGTAGCGAGAACTAAGAACTGGTTTTAATGAGATTGAATTACTTACGTGAGTAAATGTTGTGCATGTGAACGGGGTATTAGACAGGGAATGCTGTTTTGTATGGTTCACTGATTGTATTATTTTGCCTTGCTCATATATTGACAACACTATGTAAGGATCTATACCGAAAAGTCGCTGTTACAGGTGTGAGTCAGTATGGCTTTACGTTGCTTTAAGCAATATTCCAGCAATATCACGGCGGGGGACACCAGAAATGGGCTTCACACATTGTACCCATGTGGGAATCGAACCCGGGTCTTCGGCGTGACGAGCGAACGCCTTAACCACTAGGCTACGGCTATTACAGTATAAGAAGTTGTTATCCATAAATTGTGTCTACTTTCTCCACGGTCAACTTCAAACGTCCGTTTATGAATCACGATCAAATGACACCAGGTGTATCGGAAAGGTGAACATACCCTGCCCCACCGGTGGCACGCGTCACAAACACATGCAAAGGCAATTCAATTGTTCACTGAAAAAATACCACGGGAACATAATTGTGGTAGTCCAAACAGGAATTTGCATCATTTTTGTGAATGATGCGTCAAATTTGGTAATGTCCTCCATATGTCTGCTATAAAACGTCTTGAATTAAAGCTTCACGGGTGCCTTGAATGTATAGTTTGAGTCGTATGCCGTAGAAAGAGCATGCTCCATTGTACCTTTAAAAGTTGAGAAACACTGACACCAAATCCTGGAGCAGCTGGAATATTGCTCGACATAAAGGGAAAGTTGGCTATTGGGAAGTCGTAGTCATCCCTCTTGTCAGTTTTGTGGAAAGGTTTGTGTCCTTGTGAATCTTGATGCACAGATATAAATATACAACATGACGAGGCGGTTTCGTTTGTCTCTTTTATTTCTGGTTCAGGTGGGTAAATGCTTGGAATGGAATCGGCTTTTTTCACCATTGTTGAAATATACCAGATCAACGATATATTACAGCTCAATCTCATTAAAATAAGATCTTAGTTCTCGCTGCCGCTAAACAAAGTTCTGAGGACATCCCATTACGGGTCACGTCAGACCGACCTTGCGCGAACTTTGACCGACCAATTGAATGACCGATCAGAAGGCAGCTTTCTCGTGCTTTACGGCACTAATTTCAAATTGGCGACAATGCATCGAAACATATTTTGACAAATTTAAAATTTGAAACCTGAACAAAAGAACATTCTGGAAAGGGTAATAGATGGTATGGATTGTATGGATTCAGTCGTTAAACCCGCACCTATCGTACGGAATACCCCGTGTTAAAGTTTTCGAGGTTGCAGGATTAGAAATCACATTCCGACTGCCACCTTCATAATCTGGTAAGCGACGGTCTCATTGGTCGGATGAAAGGTCGTTCTGACGAGACCCCTAATGGGATGTCCTCAGATCTTTGTTTAGCGGTAGCGAGAACTAAGGTCTGATTTTAATGAGATTGGCTTCAGTTAAGCGTCTTGGCCAAACAGCCTTGATTTGAGTTTGGCACTCTGGGAAGAAAATTCTTTTTCAAGCTTGCTGGTAACTGTTGTACTGCAAATGTGTATAAAGTCGAAACGAAATTACGTATAATCTGATATAAATCTTGAGGTGAGGTTTGTTTTCAGTTGAAGACTGAACAAATGTTAATATTCTAAACT